AAACCACGTTTTTATCTGATTGCTGAAAGCTGCTGCAGAAACGAGGGGACGTTTCCCGTCTAGATCCGCTGATGACGACAAGTCCAGCCCAGAAAGCGTTCACATGCGTTGCCTGCATCTGTGGGGAGGGGGGAACTGGGCTCTTACTGGGAAGGTCCTGGGGGGAAGGTGCACAGTGATAGGTCTCAGTCCATCCTTGGCAAGCAGCTGATGGAACAAGGGATGGATCAGCACACAGCCATAGAATCACAGAATGGTTCGGGTTGGAAGGGACCTTCAGGACCACCCAGTGCCACCCCCTGCCCTGGGCACAGACACCTCCCACCACACCAGGTTCCTCCAAGCCCCCTCCAACCTGCCCTTGGACCCCTCCAGGGATGGAGCAGCCACAGCTCCATCAACAAGCACTGATGCTGCCCAGATACAGCGCTGGTCATTGCTTTTTGTCTCAAGGCAACATGGTTTGATGAAGCACCTTCTCAGTGATGAAGCCGAACGATGTAGTTGGCTCTTAAAGCTTTTGGGGCAAACTGTCACATTTTGAAAGAATCCTGCTTGAAAATCTCAGCATGTTTTGGCTTGGTTTAGAAAAAAAATTGAGTGATTTGGTGAATTTTCGCCCAGATACAGCGCTGGTCATTGCTTTTTGTCTCAAGGCAACATGGTTTGATGAAGCACCTTCTCAGTGATGAAGCCGAACGATGTAGTTGGCTCCTAAAGCTTTTGGGGCAAACTGTCACATTTTGAAAGAATCCTGCTTGAAAATCTCAGCATGTTTTGGCTTGGTTTAGAAAAAATTGAGTGATTTGGTGGATTATTTTTTTTCTGGTGGCCAATAAAATTTTGCTGCCCCACTGAAGAACTTGGCAATGGGGGATGAGATGCTCTTTCCTCCCGTCTGGCTTTCCAGAGACCAAGTTGCCACTGAAGCAGCAGTGCTGGGCCTCCCTACACTTCCCCGAGGCTGGGGACGGCCGAGTCTGTCTGGGGGCAGGACTGAGGTCACTCATCTCTGATTTATGGAGCCACTCACTCCATCTTCTTTTCCAGCTGAATCCCCTGCCCTGCGCACGTGTCTTCTCCATCGAGCTGTGGGAAGCTCTGCTCCCAGGAGTATGAATCACAGCAGCACTGAGTTTATTTGCTCTTAGACTAGATGGCTCCTTAAAAAAGACACTGTCGTGTTGGGCAATGTGCCACCAGGAACAGAGTCCGGGCAGAGCATGGTTGGGGAGTCTGGATTTGGGCATTTGGACGTGTAACTTTGATGTTTAATGAAGAGTGTGGTTGACTGAAGCTCTTTCTGTTGTCAACGGAGGGAGAAAGGTGCTTCTAGTGAGTCATTTGGAGGTTAGAAGGACATCAACCACCTTCTGGAGGCACCTTTTTCTCTTTGTAGACCGAAGACAAAGCCCAGGACAACTTATTCCAGGACTGGTTCAAGGTGAGCCAGGGCTGCCCTTGATGCCCACAACATGACAAAGACCAGAAGGACATTTCCACCTCCAGAAGGCTTTTCCCATGGCAGTGGAACTATTTCATTTCCCCCACTGCCTCTTGCCCCCTCTCTGCCTGCCCCCCTGCAGCTCCAAATCCTCTGGAGTAGCACGTTCTCCCAGTGGGAGACTTTCCATGGATTACAACAAACTGGGAGCTTGGGCACGGTCTGAGGGGCAAGAGAGGGGCCGGCAGCGGTGGGAGGCAGAAGAGGCTGCGGGAGGGATGGAGGAGCTGGAGGTGAGACTCAAAACTCTGACTCAGTCCCGTAGCCACAGGGCTGCGTGTCCCCACGTGCCATTTCTCTGCCCCTTTCTTCCCAAACCGAATAAACTAACTGGCATAAGCGGGTTTTAACCACTAACACTTCATCCACAGGAGGACTCCTTCCCTCCCCCTCTCATTATAATGGCATAAATGTAATTATCCCAGGTATAATTAACAGAAACCATGTTTCTCGTGTCAGCAAGCAGCCTGGGTGTGTGCTGCAGCCCGCCGCGGTGGAGCTGTTATCTCTGGCTCACAGCGGAGGGTCAGCGCAGCGTGGGGACCTCTGTGCTGCTGCCAGCACGATAGCTGGGGGGCAGGCGGCCCCACCAGCGAGGTGGGGTGCCGAGGTTGCCAGTTTGCAAGCACAGCACCCCAAAACCCGGCCAGGAGAAGCAGGTAGGGACCTGCCAGCCCTCTTTCCCCCGGGCTCCATAGCAAGGACACGGTGTGGGAAAGAGCTGCCGACCTCTCATGCTTTGCAGCCCTAATATTCGTCACCCAAGAGTCAGAGCTGATGCCTTGTACCAGCCCGGGATGTTCAGGAGATGTTGCACAATTCAACCAAAGGAGAAGGGTGTCTGGACATGGAGCTGTTGGAGCGGGGCTAGAGGAGGCCACGGAGATGCTTGAGCCCCTCTGCTGGGAGGGGGGGCTGAGAGAGTTGGGGGGTTCAGCCTGGAGAAGAGAAGGCTCCAGGGAGACCTTGGAGTCCCTTCCAGTCCCTCAAGGGGCTCCAGGAGAGATGGGGAGGGACTCTGGATGAGGGAGGGGAGCCATAGGAGGAGGGGGAATAGGTTTTGAACTGAAAGAGGGAAGATTGAGATGAGATACCAGGAGGAAGCACTGACAGAGCCCTGGAACAGGCTGGTGAGAGAGGTCATGGAGTCCCCTTCTCTGGAGATCTTCAAGACCTGCCTTGATGCCATCCTGAGTGATATGTTCTGGGCAACCCTGCTTTGGCAGGGGAGTTGGACTAGAGGGAGTTGGACTAGATGATCTCTAGAGGTCCCTTCCAACTCTGACGATTCCATGAATCCGTAAAGAAATTTTTCACTCTGAGGGTGGTGAGAGCCTGGCCCAGGTTGCCCAGAGAAGCTGTGGCTGCCCCATCCCTGGAGGGGTTCAAGGGCAGGTTGGAGGGGGCTTGGAGCAACCTGGTGTGGTGGGAGGTGTCCCTGCCCAGGGCAGGGGGCTGGAACTCAATGATCTTTAAGGTCCCTTCCAACCCAAACCATTCTATGATTCTATTTGCTCCAGTGCCCAGATGACACAGTTTCACTATTCACACCTCTACTACACTAAGAGATCGGCCTTGCTCACACCAGGGCTGTTTTGGGGATGTTGCACGTCCCACCAAGGCCTGGCAGAGCCAGGTTTAAGGGCTCTACCAGCTGGAAGGTGAAGAACTGCTTCGGCCTCACCGCACAGCGGGCTAACTGCGTCACCAAGGCGGCTTCCTCGTCACAGGGCAGCGCGGCTCAGCGGAATAAGCAGCATCTTCATTAGGGACACTCGCCAGAGGAACCTGCTGATGTTCCTATTCCAGCTAAGAGCCTGGGGGCGGCCAGGCCTCACTAACAGGAGTTACTCGTTTCACAGGATCCACGCCGCAGCCGTCTGTGGGGTGCTCGGGGCCCTCCGTGGGGTGCTCGGGGCCTGGCAGGGCTGCGTGGCAGCAGGGTGAGGGGGGTCCATGCCAAGTGCCACGTGCACGTCTGGGCAAACTGCTGCTGCGGCGCGGGCAGCTGAACCCAGCAGAGCCGAGTTTATCACAAAGGGGTTTTGCCAGGTCAAACAAACCACGCCAACGCTGGCTGAAGAAAGCTTTGGGTGGCTCGGCTTAAAAACCAGCATGAACAGTGCCAGCCTTTGCTGTTTCTCCTGTCCTGCCCAGCCTGGGGTACTCAGCACCTCCCAGGCTGCAGCCAGGAGCTGTATCTCCCCAGGGTTTTGGAGGGGAGCTGGGGTGAGGCCTCACTTTCCTCCGAGCCCTGGCTGGCTGGGCTGCACGCTCCATCGCGGTGTGGGTGCCTGGAAAAGGCGGGGTGGCAGCGGAGACACCCGTCACCCCGGCAGCCCTTTGGGCAGAAAATGGATGCGAGCCATGCAGCCAGACCTCCACTGGGTCTGGCCCTGCTTGTTGTGCTTTAAGGACAGAGATAAACTGGGCTTGAAGTAACTTCTTGTACCCGAAACCACGGCCCGCTTGCATCGCCCAGAAAAGCTCGGGCTTCGGGGAAACCTCTCGCCGAGCTCCGTGCCCCGTCGGCTGACGAAGGCCTTTGAAAGGCGGCTTGTTTGCTCTCTCCGTGCATGCAAGGGCATGTCCCGATGGCACATTCCTCCCTCTTCCCGTGCCTGGTTCTATGCCTGGCCAAGGAGAAGAGAAAATATTACATCCAAGCACCAAGTGCAGGCGCTAAATCAATCCCCCCCTCCTCCCAGAAGGGAGGGACCCCGCACCCCGGGGCAGGAGGGGGCCAAGGACCCACCGGAGGCCGCTCCCCCCCGAGCTGTCCCTTTAACATGGAGGTGTCTGGGCAGAAACTACCGCTCCCAGAGGCCAGCGCTCCGGCCCCATGGCCGCCCTGCGAGCCCGGCCGGCGCCGCAGCGGCGCAGCCTGGGGGGTGTAGTTCCCCCACAGCCCCGGCTTTGTGGGGACGGGCAGTGAAAGGGAAGGGGGGGGACGTGAAGGGAAAACACCCCCCCCAAAATCGTGTCGGCCCTTACAAGGACGCGGGCCGAGGCAGCGCCGCTCTCCCTGATGGCTCCGTGTCCCCCCTCCCCGATGCGGCCGTTTGCCGCCTTTGTGCCCGCAGGCCGCGGGGTGGATGGCTACCGGCTGGGGCAGGGGGGCTAGCGGCCTCCCCACTGCCCGCCCGGGGTGCCTGAGGCCGGTGGCGGCGGTGCGGGGGTCAACCGCAGCCCCGTTATCCGAGGGAGCGTTGGTGGCGGCAGCGCGGGGCCTGTGCCCCCCCAAAGCCGGGGAAGGGACCGCCATTAACGCCTGAGGCCCCCGACCCGGGCCCGGCCCTAACCTGGGCCTGGCCTGGCCCCGAGCCGGCCCGGGTGGCGGCCACAGCGGTGAGGGGACGCGCCGGGCACGGCCTGCCCCCTTAACCTCCCCCCTCCCGGGGCTCCGGGGTGCGGGTTTTGGGGCGGAACGGGGCGGCAGGCAGGGCCCGGCCCGGCCGGGGGAGCGGCGGCGGCCCCGGCGCCGCTTGGAGCGGCCTCGCCTTCCCGGCGTGCAGCGCGGCGCCCGTCCCCGCCGGGCCGCCATGTTGTCGTAGTGAAAGGCAGGGGGAGAGGCAGGCGGCGAGCGGCCTGGGGGGGGCCGGCATCCGTCTTCATCCTACCGCTCCGCCCGTGAGTACCGGCACCGGACCGGGCCCCCGCCGCGCCGCGCACCTCAGTGGAGCCGCCGGTGGGGCC